CTTAAGCAACGGTGTTTCTAAATCCATGCTATGGTAAGTGCACACACTAAGCATTCTGCACACTTTCTAAAATCCTGTATAGTAAGGGTTACGCGCTGTCAGCCTCGTTCCCTTTCTTTGAGTTGGCTTAGGCCCCGGTTCTCGCCTTGGGTTCGTGCTTATGTTTCTCTGTTGATACATTTCTGAGCAGGGTGTTGCTACCAAAGCTCTGTCGAGTCAGTTCTTTGAGCAGGTTTATTCAGAACCGGTTATAGCCCTCCTGGGTGGCAGGCCAGGGTCTGGTGTGTGTTTTTTAGACACCTGGTCGTATCCCCTTGAAGGAATCCCTCTCTTTTGATTCCAAGCCTTGAGCTCTGCCCTAGGCTTGGGCTTCCTAGCCCAGCCCTTAACAGGTAATTTATTTTAGGGTATGCAGCTCAGGACCTTGGCCGAAGGGGATGTCACTGACAGCCATCAAGACATCCTTTGAGGCAACTCCCATGGCTATGGTAGAGTTGGTACTTAGTGTTCGCCATGGTTTCTGGCATGCACTCCCCTCAGCATGGCGGCGTGGGTATACCGCTCCCCAATGCGACCCCTAGAGGACGCAGTTCGAAGTTCCCTCGGAAGGGAACGTCTCAGGTTCTGTATGTAACCATGGTTCCCTGAGAAGGGAACTAGACACTGCGTCCTCTAGTTCCCTTGCCATGCTTCAGACGTAAGCTTCAGACGAAGAAGTGGATGATGTGCTCTCCCGCTGCCCTTTTATACTGTGGTCGTGCCGGGTGATGACGTCACAGGCTGTCGCCGGCCAATGTGGTGTCGTGTTTAGATGTATGCTTCAGACACCGGTCACGCTGAAGGCGTTCCCCAATGCAACCCCTAGAGGAGGCAGTGTCTCGGTCCCTTCTCAGGGAACCATGGTTACATACGTAACCTAAGACGTTTTTTGATATTAGAGCAAAAGGGAACGACAAAAAATTGTATTTGTTGTAGATTCTGTTCACCACTATTGAAGTTCTCCCAACTAAGGCAACTTCTGCCGGAGAAGGCCGAAAATATGAAAATGGCTCATATGAGTGCAGTACTCTCAGCTGCTTTTAACACATTGTACCATGTTTAAATACTGTCTATTATATTCCCCCCAAAATTAATGCAAAAAATAATTTTGACTTAGCAGATTTTGATTGAGTTACTCACAGAAAGGAACCTGAACCACAGAACAAATAGAGGAAGAGATTCAGCAAACACGCATGTGAAAAATCAGATTGAAGAAGAACTGACGAATAGAAAGAGCGAGAGGAGAAGAGGCCATGGGCTGCTCCTTCAAGAAATCACCACATTAACCAGCAGCTTAACCTGACCTTTAGATAATAGAACTGTGCATTTCACTGTAATTCATCATTACTTATCAGCTGAAGACACACACACACACACACACACACACACACACACACACCTATCCGAAGCTTCTCTCTGTATGTGCTTTGTTTATTTCTTGGATTCACTTTGGCTTCATCATGACCAAAGATCTCCTTGATAAAAATTCCATTATACTGAAACATCCCGCAACATTAAGGAGCAAGTTTCAAAAGTAGGTTTTCACAGTGAAGCCATAGAATAACCATTTTTTGGTTCCATAAAGAACCTTTCAGTGATCACCATGTTTTTCTTAGTTTGAAGGACATTTTATTAATCTGAAGAAGAACCTTTTTCCACTATCCACCTTCTTCTTCGATGCAGAAGTAAGCCTATGGGCGAGATTTCCGGTTCATTAGCCGCTAGATAAATAACGAGAAGAATAACAACGTGCAGTAAACAGTAAAACTGTTTGCACTACAAACCACTGTGTTCGTAATTAAGATAATGCATTAAAATAATATGGTATGACACACCAAATTTCAATATCAAGCAACAAAACTAACTGTTCTGTACACGATTTTTATCGACCTCTCTGGCCAAGCTAGACCCATAGCAATTACAAATGGCCGTGCCAATCTTACGGCAAGAAAACGGTG